TGTTTGTACACGCCTCCCCTGACACCACTATTAGAACATGCCTGGTGAGCTTGTTCAAGGATGAGACAGCACATGGAGTCAAGGCTAGTCTAGATCAGCCAACCCCCAGCTGCTGATGCACCAGCTGAATCAAATACAAATCAGGACTCCCAACCAACACAAGACTCCGCATACATTGGGGATATTACTCCACTAAGTTAGATTCCCCATTGAGAGTCTCATAGCAAATATGATAATCACAATATTTGTGGTTATAAATATTGTGTATAAAATACACAATATTTGTGTATTTTAAAAATGTCTACCTCTCCTGCTGGACTGTAAACTCCATGAGGGTGGGAGCCAGGTCTGTCTTTGATCACTACTTTGTCCTTAGTATCCAGCACAGTGCTAGCTACAGTCAGTACTCATGACATTTGAGTAAAGACTTGCCTGACATCCCAGTTCATACACTCGAAATAACGTGGTTCACATGGCTCTGAGGAATTGGTGACTCTAGAGAAGAATCTGCCAAACCATCTAGATACAGCCATCAAGAACGCTTTATAACCTAGGGCCTGACCAATCCTTCACTTTCAAAGTCTCTGAAAGAACCCAGCTATTAGGCCCCGGGAAATGGCGCCATGTATCTTTCCAAGAATAGTTCTGTCTTTCCTAATTTGGCTTTGCTTCTGCCATGTATTTGCAGAGCCCCTGGCATGGTGGCCTCATGTGGCATTATGGTTCAGTTTTTTCCTTTGTAAACGGGACTGATAGTTAGAAAAACACATCAGTGTATGCATAGAACTACAGCATCACTTGGCATGCTTTCAGGAAATGCTAAGATTATGTGCTATTATTTAGAAATCAGATGCGTACATGTTGCCTACTCTTTTTAGGAGTAATGTGACTATTAACATCTCTTAGCCACCGAACGCTCCATACTGTTTAAAACCCTGACATAACTCCCTGTTTGCCGTAATGCCTTCACTGATGCCTGTACCCTCTAGTGACCTCTCCTGTCCTGGACATTTGCTCTCCACAATTTCACATCCGATTCTATTGTTCTTTAATTGTTCCTCACAGTTGGTGCTATGGTTTACTGGCAGATTTTCTCCCAAGCAGCATCTGTAGTTGTGCTGGGTGTTGAACAGGAGGAGTTCCTGTCTGGAGGCCGGGGAAGCATCCTGTCTTCCTCGACATTGGTTAGAGTTGGTGGAGACTTGAAAGCCTCCATGACAGCCCGCTGCAGAGTTGGCGGGTTCCTGCCCCACTCTCCCCTCTTCAAGCTGGGAACCGCTAAGCCCCTGGCAGTGAGACATGGGCTGGGAATTTCTCAATGCAGTACCTTCGCTGAGAGCTATTAGCATGAGGTGCCATTATTTTCCTTGGATTGGATTTTCTCCAGAATTCTCAGCAGGCACTCCATAAGCAGCATATGATCGAAACAGGCAAGGATTGGCAAGTGGCTGGTGTGAAAATCAGCAACTGAAAATAGGCGGCAGTGTGTAGCTCGCTCAGAATCCTTCTGGTAAGAGCTACTAGCACTTAAAGCATCCATCAGGTTTACCATCCAAGGGATGAGGTATCTGTTGAGTGGGAAGTAGTCACCTGCAGAAAGCAGGCAGCTAGAAATGGTAGAACTCTGGCAGGTTCTTGGAAGATGAACAAGGCACAGCTAAATATGCAAGTTGCTCAGCCCTTGCCCCAGACCCACTAACCCAGAATCTCGATGGGCGGCCTGGAATGTTCATTTTTTATAAGCATCCCCTAGGGACTCCAATGCAGATGGTCTTCCAACCATACGCTGAGAAATGCTGGTTTCAGAGTAGAGGGAAGGCAACCAAATCAGCACAACTTTGGGAAGGCTGTCTCGGGTGAAGGAAAATGAGAGAGCAGCATGCGAGTAAAGGGCCAGGGATGATAGTAAGCGTCCAAATCAGAGCCAAACATTACTTACAGTTTAAAGCCAACTCTGGGGACAGCCACTTGCTAGCTATTGCTTCCAACCCCTGATATCACAATCACACTGTAACAGGAATCAAACAGGAGACAGAAATTATATAGTTTCAGGGGGAAAATTAATAACTATAATAGGGTACCACCTACAAGGGGAAAGGGAAATTCTTAGAATACAGAAACAGGAGATAGAAGGAGCAGGCACTACCAACATCTAGGTCCAGGCAGGCACGGGTACGCGTGGGGGTGCACGCGCGCACACACACACACACACACAACCACACACACAAAACCACCAAGGAAGGCACAAATCTGGGAGTGCTCTCCCATCTGTTAGGAAGTTCAGATCTATGCTGAGCATTTCAAGTCATCTGCTCCAGGTGAGGGTTTCCTAGGGTTTTCAAGCAAAGGACCGCTCGTCTCCTCAGACACAGGACAGCAAGCTACTTCCACTGCCTCAGGAGGTTCAGGGAGGTCTAGGGTAACTTGGGTGTCCAAGAAATGTCAGTTTCCTCTAGGTCCAAGCAGATGTCACTATTTCAAAATTTGATATCCCATTCCTTCCCAGTCGATGCCTTAACCTCACAAGAGGAACTTAACAAGGCTGTAAATTCCACTAACATTGTAATTCAGCCCACAAAGAGATGCCAAACACTGCCGGCTGCCCTGCACTGCATAGCCAGCTGAGAGGAGCGCTTGAATCAGGAAGGACCCTTTCCTCCTCTAATGTCCCTCCAGCACCCTCTACTGATGACGCTTCACATCGGACCAAATGGCAAGGGAGAAATGTTCCAGTATTGCAAGTAGGGCAGTGGAGGAAGGGTTTGGAGCTGAGAATCAGTGGGCTGTTAACTGGCAAGGCACCTCACTTTCATTCCCTCTCCCACGGTCTCCACCACCACCGCCTGATAAAAACACAAATACTGCATATAGAAATGGGGAAACCCACGATGTAAGACTCACAAAGAACATCTTTCTCATACTACATACTCACATGTACCTAGGGTAACCAACCATTTCAGTTGCCCGATACTGTCCTGCCTTTAGCATTTAAAGTCCTATGTCCTGAAAAACCTCTCAGGCCCAGACAAATGGGAATGATTTGTCACCCTACATGCATCCTGAAGGTTTCTAAACTTTCTCTGCATCCACATCACCTTGAACGCTTGGTAAAAATGCAAGTGATTTTGTGAAAAATGCAGTTATTTTGGATGCAAGTGGGTCATGGATGGATTCTTGAGAAGTGTTCTACTTGGAGGCTGAAAAGGTGTTAATTACTACTTTTAGGGACTCCTCAATCCAACTTCTTTGTCCCTGTTCCAAAACTATAATCACTGAAAGGAAAGAAATGACATCCTTTGGAAGACACAGCCAAGGTTCCTGAACCAGAAACAGACACTGACAGATTACTAGTTGATGGGGACCAAAAAAGAAAAAAAAAAAAAGATAAAAATTACAGTCTGGACTTACCACTTTTCTCTCCTTTCAGTTCTAGGATAAATCATTTTCCTTCAGTGTCACAAAGTATAACAAAGAATGATGGATGCTGTGAAAATTAGATTGGTGGAGTACACTGAGCTTTTGCAGATAAGCAGTATATAATACAAGACCTATTTTAAAGACTCCCACAGTGACTGTGATTTGGTAGGTCTTAGAGAATAAGCTGCACAAAACAGACAATTCAGTGCTACTTTTGCTATTTTCACACTGCAAGATATGTGGTTTAACATGGCCATTTAAAGATGCTTCTCGGGCGCCTGGGTGGCTCAGTTGGTTAAGCGACTGCCTTCAGCTCAGGTCATGATCCTGGAGTCCTGGGATTGAGTCCCACACGTCGGGCTCCCTGCTCAGCGGGGAGTCTGCTTCTCCCTCTGACCCTCTTCCCTCTCATGCTCTCTATCTCTCATTCTCTCTCTCTCAAATAAATAAAATCTTTAAAAAAAAATTGAAAAAAATAAAGATGCTTCTCAAAAACTCAGATGGGGTGAAGAGAAGACACCTTTTGGCCCACTGGTCAAATTTATTTATTTTTAATTTTTATTTTTTTAAAAATATTTTATTTATTTATTTGACAGAGAGAGAGCACAAGCAGGGGGAGCGGTAGGCAGAGGGAGAGGGAGAAGCAGGCTCCCCACTGAGCAGGGAGCCCCATGCGGGGCTCCATCCCAGGACCCTGGGATCATGACTGAGCCAAAGGCAGACGCTTACCCGACTGAGCCACCCAGGTGCCCAAATGTATTTTATTTTTTACTTTTTAAGACACTCTTAATATTAATTGAATTTCTGTTGTGTTTCAAGCACCCTGCTAAATTCTTTACATGCATTACATTTAACCCTCCCAACAAGAGCTATGCCCATTTTATAAAGAAGTGCAGTACCTGCCCTAGATTATACATCTAGTAAATGGTGTCGTCTGGACTGAAACTTAGGTCTGTTCACTGAAGCAAAATGTGCTTAGCACTGGAGAGCCATGGAGGAGTCAGCGTTGTCCCATGCCCTGTTGTGTTACTGATGGAGGGATGCACAGGCTGCGGTGGGAACGCAAAGGAAGTGCCTGTTACACTCTCCAGGGCTTCCAGGGTAAAATTCAAATCCTTTTACCTAGCACATCACGACCTGGTTTCCCAAGCCCCTCGCCCTTCTACCAGCCCCGCGGGGACCCAGTCACTCCGCAGAAACCAAGGATGCCGGCGCTTAGACGTCTCCAGTTTGGTTTCGGAGCAAGGGGGGTGGATTATGGCCCGAGAGACCTCGGCCTAAGATACACGTCTTAATTCCCACCTTCGCCATAGCCCGGCTCCTCACGGGGCTCCCACGGCACTTTCAATCTGTGCTCCCCTCCAAACCCGACCCTCCCATCCGCTCCTCAGCAAGCCGGCCCTCCCGGCGCTGGGAACACGGAGCTGCCCGGACTCCAGCCGACGGCGCCGGAAGTGGCAGTGGCGGCGGCGGCGGCGGCGGCGGCGCGTGACGTCAGCGGAAATACCTGACGCCGCGGCCTGTGGTTGCGGGACGTCGGAGTTGGTGCTCCTCTCTTAAAGTTCCCCGACAGCCGGCGGCGGAGTGGGTCTGGGGCGGCGGGGTCCGTTCCAGGACCGAGCGGGTTTGTACCAGCGCGCCGGGCTCCGCCGGCTGCCGTGGGGTCCCGGTTCTCCTGGGTGGCTGGGGGTATGGGGACCGCCCCGTGAGGACCCTCCCCGGTCGACCTCCAGGACTGCATCTCTGGGGCTCCTGGAAGAGAAGGCTCTAAAATAGGGAGAGTTGCTAACTCTGCGTGAGGACCGGGCTTTTTCACCTTCGAGGACCGCCTATTCAGAAGCACCTCAGCCTTCAGAGAGGTATTGGTTTCCCTTTTTACAGAGGAAGAAACTCAGGCCCGGAAAGGTGAAGTCAGCTGACAGGTCCTGCAGCTGGGAACTGCTAGATTTAGATTCAGAGCGAGTCAGGCTGGCGCCGGGGCCCTCGCCTTTTACCTTCTGCAGGGTTCTCAAGCTTTATGTGGGTAAAGAATCTCAGGATGGAAGGTGGGGTTAGTTAACAGTTTCTGGGTCACAAAATCAGAACTATAGCTAATTGTCTTAAGAGTTTCTGACGGTCTTGTTGAGAGAAAATGGCAGCTTCCTCTACACATCTTGTGGGAGTGGAAGGTTGGTATTTGACTCTGCCATTAACTCTTTTTGGGCAGATGGCAGTCTCTGTCATCTCCCTACCTATTAAATGAGAAGGAATTATATACTTATCACCTGGGGAAATTTGTTAAATGTCCATATTCCTGGGCCCAGCACAGCTCAGGAGGTCTGGGGAGGGTCTGGAAATTGGTATGCTAAATAAGCCATAAAATGAGCTTGTTACCTGTGAGGACTTGAAATGTGAAGCTTTCTTAGCGCAGTAAGGAAATGGATCATAGGTTCAGAACATGTGGCTCGAACCTCCCTGTTTTTGTCTCTTTGTAGCTGTGTTCCTATATTTTCTGTAAGCTAAAATTTTATTGGCAAAAATGCCAAATTAGTATTATTGGCCATTATGAGGTGTTTCTTTTCAATTAACTGAAAACTGGGAAGTTAATAAAGTTTGAATGTTAATCTCCTTCCTGTTGATTTCCTGAGTGACTCTGGGTGAGCTACTTAACCTTGTGGTCCTCATACATGCCCACTTAGAACCATCTCCTACAATGCTTGTCACAAAGACAAACACTTGTATCCATCCTAAATCAGATCTTCTGAGACAGGCCATGGGTATTTTTAACAAGCTTCCAGGGAAGTTTAATTATAAGTTTAGTTATAATGGAATATGGAAATGCCCTTGGAAACTGAGTCTGAGCTTATTTCTCAATATCCATATAGGTGAGGGAATATTACAGTTTCTTGCAGACTAATAAGACTAATGTGGTAGATCTTAGAATTTCTTAACGTGTACTTTCTTGTGAAAGAAGCAAAAGTACTGTAAGATTGTTGGGACGCCTGGGTGGCTCAGTCCAACTCTTGATTTTCGCTCAGGTCATGATCTCAGGGTAGTGAGATCGAGCCCTGCATGGGCTCTGTGCCGGGCATAAAGTCTGTTTAAGATTTTCTCTCTCCCTCTGTCCGCCCCACTCCCCACGCTCACTCACTCTCTAAAAAAAAAAATTAAAAAATACTATAAGATTGCAGAAGATAAACATTAAAACCAGCAGTCCTAAGTGACTTATTAGGCTCCTTGATTGAGATGCTATGATGACAAATTATTTTTACATAGAACCTCCAATTGCATTGAGCTTGAAAGGATTATAATGACTCCCTTAGATAGTTCACACTCACAATCCTAACTAAAAGCACTTTTTTTTTTATTTTCAACAGATACCGTTGCGTGATTTTGATCAGGAATGAAATCTGAAAGCTAAGAGCAGAAGCCTTTTTGGTCAACATGGAGGACAAAAGACGGCGAGCCCGAGTGCAGGGAGCCTGGGCTGGCCCCGCTAAGAGCCAGGCCACTGCTCAGCCAGGCAAGAGCTCGTGGGGATCTTGTGTGAATGCCCTTGCATTTCACTTGATGTTAAGGAGTTATTTAAAATGTAGCTGGTACTTTGGTTTTCTTGATGTTCATCTTTTATTGAGGGTTGAGTTATAGTATTTCTCATATTTAGTCACAGCTCTCAAACCTTTCAGTGTGTGAGGTGGGATCTCCAACGGACTTTACTAATTAATTTCTAGGTGTCATATCGGTTATCTTCAAGTAGATTTTATTGGCCCTTGCTCCCCAGAGCAGACTTTTTGAGTCTGGTTCACGTCTATTCTTGGCTCTTGATTCAGCTACCACTGCTAAGAGCCATCTCCACCAGAGACCTGGTCAGACATGGATGAACAAGGAGCATCATCTTGTGGACAGACAGTTTGTGTTCAAAGAACCCCAGCAGGTAAATTCTTACTTCTCCTACAACAGTAACAGATTTGCTTGTAAAAGGTATATTCACATAGTAGACGATCCGATGGTGACTGAATAAATTCACTAATAAAAGGAGCTTGAAAGGCCTATAATAATAATGAAATGTGGAGTATCAATTTCCTAGTATGTCTGAAGATTCTTTATAGTCTGCTCCCAACTGATGGGCATATATAATTCCCATTTTGGTGGGGGAAAGGAGGTTATACTAGGACTGGCGCTTGCACTGGTTATCTGAGTTCTAACAGTCCTAAAACCATGCTGTCTTTAGTGCTGGTGTAGCACATGTCTCTGGAATTGGGTTGAAATTTTCAGCTACTACAATGCCTGATTTTTTAGCTTTTTTCCCCCAGCCATGGGGAAAAATTGTAAGAAACAGTGAAGATTCACTGTTGTTAGTGACATGGAAAAAGCTAAAAAATGGTATCTTGCTGTAATAGTGATTGTGTAAATAATGATTAAAACTTATTTCTTAGTTTATCTTCTGTTTTATTTTTTAAAAGATTTAACTTAATTTATTTGAGAGAGAGAGAGAGCACATGTGCATGACTTGGGAGAGGGAGAGGGAGAGGGACAGAGAGAATCTTTCAGGCAGACTCTGGACTGAGCATGGAGCCCAACGCGGGGCTCAGTCTTACAACCCTGAGATCATGACCTAAGCCAAAACCAAGAGTCGGATGCTCAACCGACTGCGCCACCTAGGTGCCCCAGTATATCTTCTATTTTAAAAAGTCTCCTGGAAAGAAGGTTTTCCTAGAATTATTGGCTGCTCTGAAAATGGATTAATTCTACTTTTATTATTTTTTCTTGCCCACTAGCAACCGTGAAGTAGTTCTAAGAAAAGCAGACAAGGGTCTCTGGTGGGATAGTAAGTGCTTGAAATAAAAAAAGGGATAGTACTTTTATCAGCAATGAGAGGACATGGTCATCCTGCACATAAGCCTTTCTGAGGATTAGGGATCATTCCAGAAGTAAAATCTGCCTGTTTCCTTGCAGGTAGTACGCAGAGCCCCAGAGCCACGAGTGATTGAGTAAGTAATTTGCTGCCTTTCTGTATTTGTTGCCCACAGTAAAATGGAGAGGCCAGATCTTTCCCTCACTGGGTTTTCCATCTGAAAGAGATAATGGCCCAGTTACTGTCTTAATTTTAGGGTGGGATAGTTGTATCTTAGATGTCTTTAAAGTTGGTCTTTTGGGAAGCATTTCTCAATTTGCTGATGGTGTGGAAAATGCAACAAGATACCTCTCCCTAAACTGTGACTCTGGTGTGGATTTCCTGACCCTGATTCATTAATCTGCAGATAGTAAACTAAAATATCTTCTAGGTAAAGACAGAGGGGGATTTTCCCTCAGTCATTGAAATGTGGCATTTTTTTTTTTTTAATTTCTTTATTTATTTTAGAGGGAGAGAGAGTGCACACAGGGAGGGGCAGAGGGAGAGGGAGAGAGAAACTTTAGCAGACTCCTCGCTGAGCTTAGAGCCCCACACAGGGCTTGATCTCAAGACCTGAGCTGAAACCAAGAGTTGGATGTTTAACCGACTGTGCCACCCAGGTGCCCTGAAACATGGCTTTTTGGGAAGACTTTAGTCAGGTTCTATTTTACTAGCAACACTTATGAAAGCTGCTCAAAATCTAGAGGGCTTTGAATGTTCATATAATTGTTCCAGAGCAATTTAAATTCCTCTTATATTGATCTGTATATAAAATATCATCCTTAATTTATAATTCTTCTTACACTGATCTGTATGTAAAATATTCTTTTCTAAAATTAATGAAAGATGCTTTGTGGCGTGCCTGAGTGGCTCAGTCAGTGAAGCCGCCAACTCTTGATTTCAGCTCAGGTCATGATCTCAGGGTGGTGAGATCGAGCCTCATATCAGGCTGTGTGCTCAGCAGGGAGTTGGAGCCTGCTTGAGATTCTCTCCCTCTCCTTCTGCCCCTCCCCCTGCTTGAGTGCTCGCTCGCTCTCTCTTTCAAATAAATATATAGATATTTTTTAAAAAAAGATGCTCTGACTTCTCTTTTCCTTCTGATATAGATAAATTGCCTGTAGAAAGCATCCTTTTATTTTAACAAATTAGTGTGTGTATGTTATTGCTCATGAACAGTCAGGCTGTTTGGCTGTTTGCAGGTTGACTTGTATAGCCTAGAAAAATTTGAAACTAAAACGAATGTCATTATACTTTGAAAGAAGGTATATAGTTGTGGCCTGGCCATTAGTTAGTTATGTAACTAGTCCTTAGGTACATTAAGGCCATCTCTCTGGACTTTAGTTTCCTTGTCTGTTAAATATTAAAAGTTTGGACCACACGATCACTTAAGGCAGAGTCTGGTGGCTCTGACAGTCTTGGATTTGTTTACGAACACCAGTGTGACATTGCCTTCATTGGTGATAAAGAGAATAAACAAAACCATGAAACTTGTTACTAGGTACAGATGGGACATTCAGGCTGAAAAAATGGGCAGTTGTGAATATTCAAGTCAGAGCAAAATGACAAAACTCCTTCCTGCTTGACCCCAGTGTTGGTTAATTCTGGTTATCTAAAGTTAGCTCTGTTAGATTTTTATTTAATAGCCAAAAATGTCACCCATATTTGAAGTGAGCCAATTTCTAAATATGGCCCAAAACATATCATGCTGAGACATTGTATTCACACTCTGGGAAACTATAGTTAACTCATCTAGAGATGTGATAAATGTATATGACAATAACCCTGCCTAGATTTTTGCTCAAAGGGGTTCTCACATCTGCCTAAGCCCAGCTCACAGATCACAAACTACTAACTCACATGGCAGAGGGTGATGTGAAAACTGTCCCTTTATGTTGTTCTCTGTAACTTACCTCTGTCCGAGAAGGGTCTGACATTGTTATCTTGGTATAGGAACCTATGCAGTCTGGGTCAGTTTTCTCCCTATGGACCTGGCCACCCTGCACATCTGGAACAGTTTTGTACTTTTGCACATTGGGTTAAATTCTGAGCTTTTACTGCCCATCTACAATGTGTGAGGCCCTGGGAAACAGAACAGTAACCCATTCCTTGCCCCTTAGTAGCCCACAGTTTAGTAAATGAAATAGACATGTAATCAGATAAATTGCAGTCATGTATATTATAAAACAGTAGACTTGTAGTAAGGTCTAGTGGTAGCACAGAGGATGAGAGGTTAACATTATTTGGGTGGATTAGAGGTCAGGAAAGTGTTACAGAAGGTGAGGCTGAACTGAGATTTTGTGGAATGAATTAGAATTTTCTGCCAGACCAAAGCTTGGGTGGGTTGGATTGGGGGTGCTGGATGTGGGGAGGCATTCCAGCTTGTAGAAAAGCAAGATTAGAAATATCGTGGAGTGGAGGGCCTGGGTGGCTTAGTGGGTTAAGCATCTGCCTTCGGTTCAGGTCATGATCCTGGGGTCCTGGGATCGAGCCCCACATCGGGCTCCCAGCTCAGCAGGGAGCCTGCTTCTCCTTCTCCCTCTGCCCCTCCCCCTGCTAGTGCTTGCCTGCTGTCTCTGTCAAATAAATAAAATCTTAAAAAAATACCATGGTGAATTCAGGAGATTCCAAGCAGCAGTGGAGGATCATGAGTGGATGGGAGCTGTCAAGAAGTGGAGCTACATCATGGGGACCTTGAATGCAGTGTTGAAAAGTTGGTGGGGAGCCTTTGAAAGATTTTAATCGGAGCAGGGACCTCATTAGACATGTATCTGAAAGCAACAGAAGCTCAGAGCCCTGAGATGTATTTGCTATCTGTAAATGCTCCTATTCCAGAGTCTCCAAAGAGATGCTCTGTTTGGTACCCCTTTGTGTGATAGATTTCTGGACCATATCAGCCTAAATTATGGATGAAATATAAAGGGGTAGACTCATAATTTATTTTATTCCAGTCTTTGTCTCCATGGCCTGATCCTCTCAGGATTCAATTCCCAGTGACATCAATGATCTGCCACCCTTTTGCACTTCATCTCAGTGGTGGAACAAGGTGGGGTTATGCTTCTCTCATAGTGTATCCTCATTCTGAAATGATTTTGGTGACCAGAAGTTTGGGAACTGCAAAGCACGGCTCTTCCACTGGGTGGAGGCTATTATTTGGCTGGTACTAACGAGTCTGTTTTCTTAATTTCTGTAGCAAAGAGGGTGTGTATGAAATCAGTGTATCACCCACAGGTGTATCTAGGTAAGTGCATCCTCCCTAGAAAGTGACTATATTATCGAGCTATAGTCTCTTAAAATATTCCGCTCCAAAAAAAAAAAAAAAAAAAATTCTGCTCCCTTACTTGAAACAGGTAACCTCTGCCTCTGAAATTCTTGGGGAGTGAGAATTTAGTAATATCTCTTTTTATATAGCATTTCTAACTTCAAAATATTTTCACAGCCTCTCTTTCAGGTACAAGTAACTATTACTTCTGTAGTTTTTCAGATGGCCAAAGAAATCGAGGACTTTTTTCCTAGTGCCACATAGTAACTTAAAAATTGAGTTGATCTAGCCTCCACTTCTATGCTCTGAGTGCTACATTATTATTATTATTATTACTTTACGTTGTATGTATTACTACATTTATTATATTAATCATATTACTACATATATTTATATATAACATATTAAGTTATGTTAACCCTTAATCTACATGAGTGGATTACTACCTTAATCTACATTAAGGTAAGTTTTAGTAAAGTTAAAGCATATATAATTTAGGGTATAGTTGGCATTAATCCTTATTAAAAACATTTTGAGGGATGCCTGGGGTGGCTCAGTTGGTTAAGCGTCCAGCTCTTGGTTTTGGCTCAGGTCGTGGTGTCAGGGTCGCGAGGTCGGGCTCAGCATATAGTCTGCTTGAGATTCTTTCTCCCTCCCCCTCTGCTCCTTCCCCTGCTTGCACATGCTCTCTCTCTGTCTCTCTCTCTCTTTCTGAAATAGATAAAATCTTAAAAGACAAACATTTTTTTTTAAAGCATCCCCTTAATGCAAGAATATACTAATTGTCACTATAAAATAATGAAGCATTTAAAATAAATATATCAGAACTTATATATCTAAATGAGTTGCTTAGAAAGAGCTTCAGAACCTCCCTTTCAAAGCAAGTTTAACAGTCATGCGAGAAACCCATTTGCATTATTTCGGTTGCATCTCATTGTCAACCAGGTATGGCTTCAGGAAGTGAGCTTTGGCTCTTTCAAAAAATCAAACACACCTCCAGAGAGTGAAGTTCAACAGAATGTTCCAAGGGCTTTGAGAACATTTCTTAAGAAGGAAAATGATTTTGAGCTGACTTGGCATTATTGAAATAAGCGTATATTCAATGAGAGAAAGAACCCTCATTTGGAAATGTTTATTTTGATACATTCATAAAAGATCACTTTCCCTACAATTGGCTTAGTCTCAGAAGATAACCAATTGTTAAAATAACACAGGGCCAGGCATTTTATTACTCTACTTTTCATAGTGAGCCTATGAGGTGGATATCATTTTTGTGTTTCAGAAAAACCAAGGTTCAGAGAGGTTAAGTAATTTGCCCAAGGTTTCACAGCAGGTGGTGGTAGAGCAATATTTGAAGCATGTCTCTAACAGCCCTCATGCATTCTTTTTCCTTTATTGTCTCTTTTATTTGTCTTAACATGAACGTTTATTTCACATTTGGAACATCATGACCTGGTGATAATTAGGGTCTGTTTGCCGTGAGACATGTGGTAAGATGATTTCCTCTACCCAGGAGGGAGCATCCAGATTAACTTCCTCCACTAATGCTTAGAGACTAGCCCATCTTCTCTGTGTGTTTTTTTTTTTTTTTTAAAGATTTTATTTATTTTGAGAGAGTGTGCACGTGAGTGGGGGGAGGGGCAAAGGGAGAAGGGGAGAGAGAATCTCAAGCAGACTCCACACTGAGTGCGGAGCCCCTGAGGCGGGGCTTGATCCTGGGACCCCAAGATCATGACCTGAGCCGAAATTAAGAGTCAGATGCTTAACCCACTGAGCCACCCAGGTGCCCCTCTTTTCTGTGTTCTTTAGTTAATAATGGTTCTTTCTGCATCGAGGGTGTGTTTGTATCCTGGCTTTATTGACCTAAAAGAAGCCGACTGCGTATTGCAACAGCTTTGTGAGGTCATTCCCTGGAAACAGAAAACTGGCATCAGAGACGGTAAGTACTGGCTGAGATTGCACTTGTTGCTGCCTGGTCTCCCTTTCTAGAATGTTTTCTGATACCGTTGCCCCTTTCACCACGCCCAGTCTTAATTAAACAGATTTAAAACCTAACGGAGACCCTAAGGATGATTAGGGATTTGCCAGCCAAAAGGGACAGGGAAGAGTATTCCAGGCAGAAGAAACAGCAGGTGGCAGGCTCAGAGATCAGAGCAAACAGGGCAGGAGCATGGACGTGGCAATTCAAGGAACCAAAGGATGTTTGGTTTAGCTGAACTGTGGTTGATAGCTCTCTTTTTGAGTTTGTTCATTACCTTTATTACTTTAAATAGTGCCAGCTTTCCTCTTTTTTCATAGAAACTTCCAGAGCTTTCCTTTTTCTGGTTCTATTTGGCATACGTTCTTTATGATCCTTATTACCGGCTTTTTATTCTCATTTTAGTTTCACAAGAAGAGTCCAGTGTCCTTTAGTTTCAGCATCTGTACTGTCCTGAGCTTGTAAAGATTACCTGACTTGGAACCTGATCCTCTTTGCGCATCCAAGGGCCAGCAGTATCTGCTATACCAGAGGTGGCCACTGGAGGACGTCCATGCTCTAGCATAAAATTTCCTTTCTGGAACCTTGAGTGAATTCAAATTTTCTGTAAAGAAAGAGGCAAAGTATACTGGCTTCATTTTTGTGACTCAGACATCAGAATAGGGGTCCACTTTTTCTCCTGCCTCCCAGAGTTTCCACAGTAGGGCTTTTGGTGGCCAAGTTGGCCTCAATTGCTGCCTTTGTCATTCACAGTAATTGTTAATTTTAAGCAAGTTATAGTTAAGTAGTTTTCTGATTCTTGGTTTTCTGATTTGTAAAATGGTATAATAATACCTACCTCGTAAGGTTGTTGTGATAATTAAATGAGATACTGCCTGATAAGTGCTTAGCAGAATGACTGGTACATAGTAAGCCTTCAGTGAATGCTAGCTGCCTTTATCATTATTGTTCTTACTATAGCAGTTGATATCAGTTGTGGGGGGAAAATAGCAGATCTGTGGATAACTCCCTTTTAGATAAATTGGACATCAAAAACTTCTGACTCCAGTCAGCTTCGTGCTGTCGTTGGTCAAAACCCCTTTTTCTTAAAATCAAAAGGTGGCACGTTGATGAACAGTGTGTCTTGTTTCTTGTGTGGATGTTGGTGGCACAGATTCCTGCCTACAAGAGTTCAGACTTCATAACCTGCCTTTTTTTTAGACCCTCCCTGATCTGAACTGTTTTGCAGTGTGACTTCACTCTTATTTATGTCCTCACTGACACAAACAAGTCACACATAGTCTCACCTCAGAGCCTTTGTTGCTATAGTTTCTGCCAATATACCTTCTCTTGTCTTCTTTCTTTGAGCTCTGTCGCATTCTACTCGTGAAATCCCATGTCCTCTAAGAACGTGGAACCCTGGTTCAGAGCCCATCTTCACTCTGCCTTTGTATTTCTCATGGTTTCTTGCACATTGCATGGCACTCAGTAGGCACACCTTAAATAGCATTAAACCATTTCAAAGGCCCTGTATTTTCTTTCTTAGATGTAACTTACAAGCAACCAAGACTTACAGCATGGTATGGAGAACTTCCTTACACTTATTCAAGAATCACTATGGAACCAAATCCTCACGTATGTTGGAATATTGTTGTTGGTATGGTTTTATAGACTATGTACTATAAATGTAGAGTACTATAAAATAACAGTATATTATCTTGTAGAGTTGCATGATGGTTCCTAGTTCCAAAAATCCTCTGGGTTCAAACACTGAGTCTTTGTGCTTACTATTCTCAGTGTGTTTTTTTAATCTAGAGATGAACTCTGAGGATGAGAAAAAAATTGGAGCTGGAATAAACTGGAACCGGGCTCAAGGATTTCAGGAAAATGAACCATTTCTTCAAACCTTCCCCTTTCCCCAGATTTTCTGGCCATAGCCTTCTGTGTACACCCTGCCTGGTACACATTTGATTTGGAGCCAAATTCTTATGACTGGCCAGTGAGGTCAGAACATCTCTTGCCATTTCTCAGGCTCTTTTGCCATTTGTGAAAAAAAGTCTCGTGTTTTTCTTGTTGACTTTATACTCATTCTGTGGCTGCATTTCTTAGACTTTAGAAATCTTATCGTGGCTTTGGCTTATTTCTACTGTTTCTTTTGTTTTTAAAAATTTCCATGACAGTAGACAAGAAAAAAAGATTCTAGTATATAAATTAAGCTTGTCCAAAGGATAGAGTTAAGGTCCAAGAAATAGCTCCCTGTTTATTTCTTGGAATCTTGCCTTTGGCAAATAATTTTATGCTTTATTGAACGAGACTTTGAAGAAAATGGAGTTTTACTTATGACATAGGGATAAACAGAAATATGACACATTTTAGAGCTTCTAGTAATTTGTAATAATAAACTCCCACTTGACTAAAATGTTCAGGGACAAAATATTGATGGGGGTGGGAGTGGGGACATGGCTTTTTCACATAAGAAGATAGCTCCATGCTTTTGTTTGTAGGGCTGCATTTAAAATGTGACCCAGGGAAGTGCTGAGACCCTTTATAGCTGAGGTTGATTTGGAAACATGAAGAGAATTGAATTAGACCAATCCAACAGATGGCTAGCCATGTTTCTGTCAGAATTAATTTACCTTCTTGTCAACAGTCATAGCAGAGAAGTTGAGGATTAAACAGGCTCTAGGGAAGAAGTTCTTTCCTATCACTGTAGTTAATCTTTTAGAACAGGATTTCTCAACCTTGGTATTATTGGTTTTGGGGCTGGATAATTCTTTGTTGTTGGGGCTGTCCTGTACATTGTAGGATGTTTAGCATTATCCATGACTTGTACCCAATAGATGCCAGAAGCACCCTTCACCCAGTTGGGACAACCAAAAATGACTCCAGATATTGCCAGACATTTGCTGGGGGGCAGAATTGCCCTTGGCTAAAAACCCCTGCTTTAGAATAAACATAAGGCACATCAGATATGCTAAATAGTGTGGCCACTTATGCTTTGAGGACATTTTGATAACTTTTGAAAAGACTTTTTTAATGACAGTCTTTTTCTTACAATGTATGTAATGTGAATTTATTTTTAAAAATTTTAGAAACTACAGATAAGCATGAAGAATATTAAAATTTTGGGTAATTCTTCCACCTGATGTTTGGCTCCAGTCTTTTTATTTTTTAAAGTAGGCTCCATGCCCTAGATGGGCCTTGAACTCATGACTCTGAGATCCAGAGTCATATGCTCTACCAACTGAGCCAGCCAGGTGCACCTCCCCCCCCACTTTTTTTCATTTTAGGGAACTGTATAGAGAGAATTTTTCTATAAAAATATCAATTATGTATACTATGTTTCATTTAACTATCATTAACATGTCTTAGTATCATTAAATATTCTTTTACATCATATTTAATAGCTATGTAGTATTCCATAATTTTTATGTACCTACCATAATTTATTCAAGCAAGCTTTTTTGTTGGATATTAAGGTTGTAAGATTAGAATTCTTTTATTTGAATTTGGCTGGCTCATAGCTTTGTGTTTTTTGCTAAAAGATTTAGTTTATTTAGTTTGTTTATATACCATCGTGAACAAAATCAAAAGAGATGGGCGCCTGGGCGGCTCAGTTGGTTAAGCGACTGCCTTCGGCTCAGGTCATGATCCTGGAGTCCCGGGATCGAGTCCCGCATTGGGCTCCCTGCTCAGCCGGGAGTCTGCTTCTCCCTCTGACCCTCTTCCCACTCGTGCTCTCTCTCTCTCATTCTCTCTCTCAAATAAATAAAATCTTTAAAAACAAAAACAAAAACAAAAAAACCCCAAAAGAGATGCCTCTTTCTCAGATTTAGTAAAGGTATATATGTGTGTTGGGGGTTCTTGTTTAATTTTAAAATTATTACCTCAAGCTTAATAACCCAAAGCGCAGGAGCAAATTCAATCAGAGATTATTAAACTTTAGTCTTTTTTGAACTAAATCTTATATGGACCCAATGTATGAAAATAAAGAAGTGCCTTGACTGGCTGGGAGTCCCACCAGCTTGACCTCTCCCTTCTCCTGCTGTAATCCCAGAGACGCCTCTGTGGTACCCAAGACTCCACAAAACACTTTTTGAAAGCCACTGAATAGGTCCTTTCACTTCGGTGATTCATATTTTCTCATACTCTTTTCCTCAAATGTCTTTTAAGGATAGAGTGTCTTCACTGAACAGTGAGATGATGCTGAATTTTTAGTTTAGACATTCAGTCCTGAGGGATCTGTGTATAGAGTATTGGTTGGAGAGTCTAAATTAATCCTCTAGTTCATTATCCCCTTTTTTTCCTCCTTACTTCACCACCAAAAATAACCAGTAAAAATATATACCCACTTAGAAACATACTGCAAACTTGGAGTTATCACGTACTCAGTCCCTAAGCAAGTCAGGGAAGTGCTAATTAGTTTCTCAGTCACATTGCAGAAGAGCTATCTTCCTCTTTTACATTCTTGTTTTTCTTGCTAAGTGTATAATTCTAGCATCTGATCTTTGTCTCCGTGAAGATAAGCTTAAAGCCATAAAATAGGAAATACAGCCTGCTAACGTTATTATGAAATTTCACTTTGAAATTTACTCTCTTGAACATAGGTTAGTTTAATAACATTTCTATTTTACTGATCTAAGTTTGGTTTGTTGTTGTTGTTTACTTTAAAAAATCCTCTGCTTAGACTGTAATGCTAGCATCCATAATAAGGAATCCCAGTTTACCACGATTGCTACATCACAGCAGAGCTGAGTGATTCCCACTTAAGCTTCCTTGGCAGTTTTACCTGACAGTAGCCATGGGATATACTTATAATATTATGCTTTCCTTTGCTGAACATGTATTCCTTCACTACCATACATAGAACATGACTTTGAAGGTGTTCTCTAAGGTAAGTTTTTAAAGTAGAATCGGTGGATCCCTGAAGGGGTCCACAAAGTCCTTTTGGGTAGTGCACAGGTCAAAACTATTTTTATAATAATACTAGGAGTGTATAACATTTTCACTATGTTGAACTTGCACTGATGATACGAAAATAATGGTGGATAAAAAACTTCTGGTTAAAAGTTAAAAAAAAAAAAAAAAAAAACAACTTCTGGTGCCTGAGCATGAATCAGGTCATTGTCACCAAACTAGTAATCATGGTATTCTTCACCACCATGCACTTCCAGTTAAAAAAAAAAAAAAAAAAAAAAAGGCTGGTTTCATTTAAGAGCATTCCTCAAAGCAGTAAACATTATTAGTTTTATTAAATCTCAACATTTGAGTTCATGTCTCTTTAATAGTTTGATGAAATGGAAAGTATGCATAAAGCACTGCTGCTACAAGCCAAGTGTGATGGTTGTCAAGGCAAAACATTTGTGTGATTCTTTAAGCTACTTTTATCATGGACCATTTTTGTTTGGAAGAACAACTAGCAGACAAACTAGTTATTCAGGCTTGAGTATTTGGTAGACATTTTCTCATAAATAAATGAAGTGAGGGTCCCTTCAAGGAAAACAATGGATAGGATTTGTTACTTACAAAAGTTGGGTTTTCAAGAGAATTAGAATTGTGGAAAAAGTCATATCCGCCCCTTTGATCCTGACCTCTTTCTATTACTTAGTCTTTTCTTATGAGATCAGTGGTAATATTAATGGATACGGTTTTTTAAAATTGTATAATGAAATGTGTCAACAGTAATGTCAGTCTCCATTACTCATTGGATCAGTATTTTCCGCATGACCAACGCTTGATGTTACAGAATCATAAAAGATTAAAAGACTCGTTCAAAGTGCAAGCGGGACCAGTAGATTGAAATGTAAGAGAATATAACAGAAGTTTGTTGATATGGTTTCTGATTCCACACTGCAACTAGTACTTGTTGAGTTTTGGTGTAATAGCAAAGAGTATCCACAATTATTTGGAAAGGCTGGAAAAGACTCCTTTTCTAACTACATATTCATGTGAAGCCAATTTTCTTCATATACTTCAGCAAAAACAACATATTGTAACAGACTAAATGCAGAAGCAGATGTGAGAATCACCTCTTCAGTGAAGCCAAACAGTAAAGAGATCTGCAAAACAGTGCCACTCTTCTTGCCAGTTTTTTGTATTGGAAAATAGAGTTATTTTTTGTAAAATAGTATTTATGTTAACACGTCACGGGTTCGTATTTTTTAAATGAATTAACCAATAGTTTAACTTTTTTAAGTTTTAATTTTTAATAGGATAAACATCATAGCTGTAACCCATATAAACAGAAGTTCTTTGAGGTCCTCAATTTTTGATAGGGATGTGAGAATAACTGTCATAAAAGGAAGCTCTGTAAAGTACTTGAGGTTTCTTGGAGGAAGGACAGAATTCTAACAAGAACTAATACAAGTTATGCTGATTGTAGCTCCCGACTACAACCTAAGGTCGGGTCATAGCTTCCTATAGTGTATGTGGCAAGACGTGAGTCCCAAATATAAATGGTGTAAGTGAACCAGGAGCTCAGGAGGCAGGGCCGTGGTATCTGTTTAAGTCGTCTGTAGCTCACAGCCCGTGTAATTATCAAGGCCATGTTGTGATTCTGTTCTGTAGAAGGTTTTTTCCCTTAGGTTCTATTTTTAGGAAGTTAGTGACTCTGGAAATAATATCTTTTTTTAAAAGCAATTCTGTCATTCACGATAAAATAGGAGTCGAGTGAACAGAGGGCCACCCAGCAGGAAAGTTGTTTCGCTCCTCAGACTTCAGTCTGAACCTGCCAACTTCCTGGCAGCCCGTCGGCTGGGGCAGCAGGCCGGGCTCCCCGCTCCACCTACCTCCTTCCTGACCGATGGAATGTGATGACAGTCACTGCCTTCCGAGGGTCGTGTATTTTACACGGGAAGGTGGAGATGCGTAGAGAGGGTTGGTCTTCATGACATTCCTAGACCAAGTTTAGTACCTTAGTAAAACTGTGGGGGTCAGCTTGCATCAAAATAGAAATGAGGGAATTGACTCTTCTTGCCCATGGCTGTCGCGTTCCCCGTGTTCTGCTTATTCCACGCCCCTGTTTAGAACATGGCTCATTTTACACTTCCTTCTGTTTTACCTGTGGCTGCCACCTTGTATCTGATGTGAACCATCTCTGCCCCTTTTCTTGGCCTCCCGATCGCAGTGGCACCCTGTGCTGCGCACACTGAAGGACCAGATCGAAGAGAACACCGGCCATACCTTCAACTCCTTGCTCTGCAATCTTTACCGAAGTGAGAAGGACAGTGTCGACTGGCATAGTGACGACGAACCTTCCCTAGGGAGATGTCCCGTCATCGCTTCCCTGAGCTTTGGTGCCACACGCAGTTTTGAGATGAGAAGGAAGCCACCACCAGTGAGTATTCTCTTTCTCTTTTTTTGTGTTTTTCTTGCCTTCTAATAGTCTGTGGAAAAAAGTAGGGCCCTCAGAAGCTCCTGTTTTCAGATTTAGAGAATAGGAGTACGTGTTTTATTGTTGAAACGTTTTCAACTGATTGCCTCCCCCATGGTTAACTTTGTACTCCCGTGGTTCGTTCATTCGTTCGTTTACTTACCCGACAGAAACTGCTTGCCTTATGCCCAGCGCCGGGGGCCTGTTTCCGTTGGGTGGACACGAACAGACACAATCCCTGTCCTCATGGATACAGGGGATAGACAGCTATTACTAATTAGTGAAATAATTGGAATTATGATAGATGCTGTGAAGGAGGGCTTATAAAGGGAAGGCTCAAGCTAGCAGATGCGAGATGGGAAAGGAAGGTGGTGTGAGGAAGATGCCCCTGAAAAAGCCTTTATTGTACGTAAGTCTTCTGCCTCTTTTCTGTGAGGGAACATTGTGAGCATCTTCATTGCCTTCTGAGCCATCTTCTGAAACACAGATGAACCTGTAATTCTTTCAGAAAGAGGAAATTCAAGCCAAAATATCAGAGGTGGTGGTCTGTCCAAGTTCAAGTGGAGAAGCAGTGACTAAACTACATAATAACTTTAGTTTCCGTCCCAGCTTTTACCTGTATTACATGACATTTGAGGGACACAAAGACTGTTAATTTTCTTAAATCGAAAAAGTATAGGACCTTAGAACTAAGATAGATAGAAGGGTAGTAGGAACTCAAAACAGCAAACCTCAACCAGATTATCTTACTAACTTTGTGTCTTTTTCTTGCCAAGGTTCCTGATCATTTAGCTAATAACATTAAAGCAGACCCAGTCAGTGTGGAAAGGCTTATAAGGCTGTGTTTAGAATATGACCTAATCCAGACCAAATAGTTAGTGTGTCAGTGCTCATGTCTGTTCTTCATCAGATACGCTGCTTCTAAGAACATAGTTAATGGACTGGGCTATTTTCCTGACACGTATTTCGGTTTCCAAGCATGGTATTTTGAAGCATACTGTTTTATTTTTGCATTTACGGCATTAAGCAGCTTTTGTTGGTATAATTTCCATTGATTAGGTTTTCTTTGGTATGTGTTAACAGGGGATTGTCAGTTGCCAGAGACTTACTGAGTGAACTCGCTCCTGAGCACTTTGAATAGATTTCACAGTTTCATTGGTGATTAGCCTTCTCATACACCAGGAGTACCACTTGAGAAGCAGACAACCCAACATTTGGGTATGGTTATGCTTTTATATGCAGCTTCCACTCAGTTAAAACCCAGTTAAATAAATTATATGAAAAATTCATCCTGCCCTTGGGAAGGAAGACTCCTGTTATGTGAATAGCAGAGAAACACCATGTGTCTCATTTTTAAGGTCAGATCCTCTTCTCAAGCCAGGCATAAGGAACACCAACTTTTTGTCAGGCATGATCGTGGGAGCTGGGGCTGTCGCAACGATTGAGTGAGATGAAGTCACCTTTTCCCTCCTGGAGCTTATTACCTAGCACATGCTGGTGCTTTGCCTTCCTACGGGAGTTTTCCTTCCTCCTCTCTGACCGGCACTGTGCTACATGCAGGATAATGTTTAATGTAATCCTAGCCTCTCCGTTCTTGGCGGTTACTTTCTTTGTTACCAGGTATTTAAGTGTTCGGTTACTGTTTCTTTACAACATCCATTCACCACCACCACCACCCTTTTAAAAACATTTTCGGCCTATTTATAGATTTGAAGCCTAAGGATTCCCAAAGCATGCTTTCTGGATAATTAGTTTTACTGTAGAAGCAGTTTCCAGCTGTTAAGCATTAGCAGTATTCTGGTGCCCAGAATACCCCCATTCCATATCCCCTCCAGGCAGCTGAAGGTCTTCAATTTCTCATATAAAAACATTATTCATGGCGACCAAGAGCTATTTCTTGGTAATATACCTGACTTCTGTTAGAGGTTCATGAGTGGATCGATAATACAACTGCCACACAGCCTTGAAGGCAACCATTTGGAACAAAATCCCGGTTTAAGAGGGAGACTGCCCATACTGAAGCTTTATCTTCTCAAGGCTTCTTACAGTTTATTTTGATGAGTATAGTGAAAGCACAGGCCATGAAATACCAGAAAACATGGTACCGTCCCTGTAATTATCTGCCAGTGGCAAGAGAATCTGCACTATACCTATGATGGCTGATTTAATAAAAATATAGACCTCCTAAGTAAGAAAATTCACCTGAGATCTTGAAACAAAGTTGGCTGAGGAAACAGATTTGGGAGGAAATATAAAGGTGTCAGTACCGTACCTCTGGCTATTGACTCTAAGTCTTGGCTTCCTGCATAATCTAAACTATGACTGAGTTTGATATAATTGTATATCCCTTCAATTTTGGCTTTTGTTTAAGATGGGAAAATTGAAGCTTAATATATTGGAAATTATCATCACACATTACTGAATACAGTTTAAAAATGGCCTTTTCCCCCCTCAGAACCTGTAAGTTCCATTCTTGGGTAAACAAGACCCAAGTTTAAACTTTTGGAAGGACTCATTCAGGTTTCTTTAACAGATCCCAAAATCTAGGACTCCACAAATCTAGCAAACCAGAAGTACAGAAGCCTTTCTTTGAGTTGACAGCCTTAGAAATGCATATTAGAATACATCATCTCTATCTTATTATAATGATCCCTTTCCTGAAGGATTGAAAGGAAATGGTTTTTGAAAATCTGTGTCTACTTTTGTTTCTAAACTCCGGTCGGTGAGGGCTCTGAGAACATGACTCATGATTCATACAACCCAAGGTAAAAGCATAAATTAAAAAGTATAAATTACGTTAGTCTTCTCTGCGGAATTTGTAGGAGTCTGACTTTCTGTCAGAAAACTCTTAGGAACCTAACTTAGTATGCCACTATAGGCTGTAATTTTCACGTTTGTCAGCAAGACATTCAGAGTATGTTAGAGGTTGTGGGAGGGAGTCTTTTTCAAAATCCGGTTCGTTTTAACCTATCAGAAGAGAAGCTAAATGCTTGTTTGACTTGAGTCAAAGTTTCTCGTCCAAAAGTGACGGAGAAGAGTCATGAGACTTGTGTACTTTATTCAGGTATGCAGTTTGGAGACAGAAAAGCACCTGTTTGGGGCCACTGGTTTTGTTACATGCCATCCCCCCACCCCTGCGGCCGCTGTTTGTTGTACTGTCTGGCACCTTTGGCAGGTCTCTGTAGCTCCTGGTCTTCTGAAAGCCGCCCCAGTTCTACACACGGCGTTCCTAGCAGTTTCTCCCTGTGCTGAGATGGCAAGGAGGTCTTTGTTTCCTAAGTATGAGTGCTCCCCTGATTGGTGCAGTTGGCTCAGCTGGCTTCATGCGGGCGTCGTCCCTGGGCTGAATGTTTCACCCCTCCAAGATGCTGAACCTTCTTCACTATCCTCTAGTCCAAGCCAGTCAACTCCTTCCCATTCATTTTGACTGTAGCATAAATTATCGTTTCCTTTAATGATAACAAGGTACTTGGTGGCCGAGTAAACTTGCCTGATCTTGCTGTTCCATTCACTGAATAGCACCATATCTATCTTCCGGCCAATGTCAGGATATACTATCTCAAGACAAAAGTAAAGCTTACCAAATATACTTCAGTGGACACTTTTTTAGAAACCAAGAACCTTTTTTTATTCTTTCAAGCTGGGCTCATTAAAGTTTGTCTATGCTCCTTGTCCCAGACCCAGTTGTATTTTCCAAAATGCATCGTGTCCCTGCTATAAAGATTAGTCTGGTTCTTTTCCCAGCTAGCTTTAGTTCTATACTGAAAAACAAGCTGGAAAAGGAACTACAAAAGCCATTTGGCAGGCTGCTATTTCTCTGTCGGTTACCATGGAAACAGTGATGGCTGAGTTGGGGGGATATTAGATAATAGCAGGAAGTTTGTGATGTGCTGGAGGTTTAGATGCCAGAAGCCTTGTTCTTCTAGCACATTACCCATGGATAAGCTCTGTCCTTCATCCCCTGAATCCTGAAAATGTGAAGGGCTTCTGTCCACCTCAGGCTGGTGAGTTGAGGCAAATTCAGCGTTTCTTAAGCCACTTGTCTCTCTAGCACCTTCTGAAGAATGTGGACCCTGTTCATAGGAGCAGAAGAGATGGTTGTAAAGCCACTTCCAATGGTGGAGGCTCTGAGAGCTCCCAGTGACTTGGAGTTCCTAGTACCTATCTTGCTCATTGGTTTTTTTGTCCGCTCCTGGGAAGAGTGGAGTATGAAAAGGTCAGTTTGATCATAAATCCTGATATTTTTTCAGGACTTTAGAAGAAATGAGGTTATTAGAATCCAAAATGCTATAATACTGACTAGCTTAAATTTGAAAGCTGGATAAACTACACGGGGCAATATTTCGTGGAGTAATGACTGCACCTCCGCCTCAGCCAGCACCCCACTGCTGCTGGTCCAGTCATCCATATCTCTTAATCAGCTCCTCTTCTGATTACAGCGTCTGTTCTGAGAAGTTACAGAAAATACCGGAAAGAAATTGTTGATAACCATTGTCTTTTTAATACATCCCTAAATGAAATCAAATCAGTTTTTATTTCCTGTTTCTGTCACTGATATTGGCAAAAAGCACCTATCCACCTCATTTATACTCTCTTCTTTTTTTGTAAATGGGGTGATAATTGGTAGCTACTTTATGGGAGCTAAGTTGTTGCAGTAAGTGAATTTTTAAGCTGTTGAAAATGGTAGATGCCACAGTGACTTTTCAGATTTGGAAATTGGAAAAGGAAATGAATGGCAGGGAAGCCCAAATCCCAAGATTCCTTTGGCCTGTGAAATGGCATTCATTGAGGGAATAGAAGGGAGACTTGGGGAGGGTGAAGTGGCCTATGGACCAGGCATGGTTACTGAGTTTTTGAGCTCCTGTCTCTAGGGCCATTTAATGGTTTGGAGAATGTGAGTGAGTGGGTGGGTAAATGAAAATGTACGTGTTTGAGCCCATAAAGCTGAGTAGTTCTGGTAGGAC